CTCTGTCTGGCTCTGACGAGTCACGAGCCTGCCTATTCAACCCATGCGTACGTATGCACGATACATGTATACGTGCGACGCGCGACGTTAAACGCGATTCGGACCCGACTCGTCGCGGTCATATATGTGTTGGCATGCAGAAGCATGCGGACTCGGGCCGCGTGCACAGCGACGAACGATAAGCCATAGGCTTCACCGGAACGGATGCGTTCGCTTAAAACTCTGTCTTGATAACGTAGTTTGTCGATATCGCGATTTACAACCGCGCGATTTACAACAATACGACGTCAAATCCTCTTACTTTTATAAAAGATATCTTGCCGTGTGGTACGCGATGTACGGATGGAAAATGAATTTTTGCCTCCTCTTCCCAATTTTGTTCGGGCCGGAGATGAATTTATATCCCAGAATAAAATTTTCTAGAGGAACGACACGGATTGATGAATACTTAATGTTGACGGAAGAAGGACCCGATGTGTTCTTACGTAAGCTCCGTAAGATTCGAGACATCGATGATATCTCGGGCTTGTCGAGCGGTTGTTCTCGCGAAGATGAAAGAAACATGGAAATTCATGAGCAAGTCGATGATACTTTACAATGCAGCGTTGTACTGACCCGATTACAACTTATCGCCTGCTGTAATGCGCCGCGAGATAACCGCTCGAACCCCGAATGAACTCTAAGCTATGGGATCGCGCGTGGTCGTGAATTTTTAGAAATGACTTTAATGCAAATGCTGTTTTAATTTTATCCATTAATTTAATTTTATTCACTTAAATTTTTCTTGGAATCTTATAAGAAATATCATCCTATGCTATTGCAAGATATATTTTACAAAGATGGCAAACATTTTGAAGAAAAGGATTTCTCTATTGATGTTGCTTTCGATGATATATTTCTTAATGTATCCCACTTTGTTGGCGAATTCTTATTTATGTAATAATAAAAAGCGAAATATAATGAATCAAAAAATTACAAAAGAAGCTCTTAGGAAGCAACACAGGATGAGAACGTGTATAGAAATTATATTAATAGAAATTAAATACGGACGTTTTAACTCTGGGTTTCTTCGAATAAAGTTAATAAAATAATTTCGTTCTACAGTAAATCATTGGAATTATCAATATGAATAATTACAAAGCGGTATCGAATCGGAAGCATCGTAATACTAAAGTTAAAGAATAAAAAAAAATGATCAAACGTCTCAGTACTTGGCTGAATACTTAAATCGCGAGTCAGAAATTAAAACTGAAAATGTTGAAAAGTCACTGTGTAACTATCGTAGTCTAATATATAAATTAATTGAAGTTTACGTTGATTACAGCGCACGATCGTAGTCCAATAAAATAATAATAAAAACTTACATTAGAAATATAATAGCGATGAGATGACAAAGTAGAGCGCAAATAAAAGTAACACGAGTTGTTGTGAGCTTATTAGAGACCTACGAACGGATGCACGTGTTTATACATACTAAATTAATACATAGATAAACTAAATAGAAAAACATAGAAGCACGTTGCCTTTGTAAAAAGGTCACAATATAACAGACCTAAAGAATCTGTGCCATTTTGAAATGTACATGTATATGTATTAATTAATTTTTTATTTTTAACGTCGATCACGGATCCTTGAAAAACACACCTAGTTTGTCAAAAGTGCAAAGCGAATCTTGTTCGAGTCCGACAGGGTGCGGTCCTTTTCGGTGAAAAAAGGGAGAAAAAAGCCGTGACGGAGTGTAAGGATCGTTATCGCCAAGTTCTCGGCCATGAACGAAGAACGGATTTAACGATCGTTTTGCGCGACGCGGCAAGGCGCGGAAAGAGAGTCGCGGGAGAGGAATGCCGCGACGCGACGCTGGCGAGAAGTCGCGTCTCTTTCTCCGACGTGTATATAGTAGTAGCACCGTCCTAAAAGCGAACGACGAGCGAGGGCCGAGGACTCGAGGAGCGAGAAGAGCAAAAGTACGCGTTAGGGCTGGTGCAGCCGCGCGGTCCGCGGCCGCCTATATTTATCCGACGATGCAATATTTGGCCGTGTCTTCGAGAAAGAGAGAGAGAATGAGCGAAAGAGAGAGAGAGAGAGAGAGAGAGAGAAAGACTCGGAGTCGACCACATTCGTCCACAACTCGCAGCGCACGGATGGGCGCATGAACGAACTCGCAGCAGCGGCGGGCAGCAGCAGCAGCAGCAGCAGCTTGCGCGCCTCTCTCTTTTCTTCTCCTGTCCCTCGCGCGCTCTCTTTCTCTCCTTTGTCTCCTCCTCTTCTTCTCTCTCTCCCCGTTTTCTTCCTTCTTTCTCTTTCTCTCTCCCTGCCTCCGTTTCCTTCTTCTGCTTTATCACAATGAGCGGCTGCGTGTGCGTGTCGGTGTCGTTAGGCAGTAGCTGCCGGTGCAGGCGTGGTTGGTTCCTTGCCCTCTGTCGCGTATTTATATCTAGCGAGTAGAGCGAATGCATTGCGGTTCGCTTCTTGTTTGCCGGGACCACTCCTCTCTTTCTCTCTCTTGCTCTCGTGCTTCTCTTCCCCTCGTTCTCGCTCTTTCGCGCTCCC